GCAAAACAAGCTGGTGCTTGGGGTGGCACATTTTTAGGGGCGGCATGGCCGGCGCCAGAATGCCGCCCCTAAAAATGTGCCCCGGCCGCCCTAGCTCACCTCCGCTGCCGCTCGCGCGCCACTACTCGCCCTCCCTCCTAGGCTCTCAAGCCTGGGAGGGAGGGGAAGCAGCGGCGCGCGAATCAGCTGTTTCGCGCGCCGCGGCCACTCGGGGTCTCCCCCTCCCTCCCAGGCTCTCAAACCTGGGAGGGAGGGGGAGACTCCGAGTGGCCGCGACGCGGGCGCCGCTTCTCCCCCTCCCTCCTAGGCTTGAGAGCCTGGGGGGAGGAGGCAGGGAAGGGGCGGAGTTGAGGCGGGGCCGGGGGTGGGGTAATTAAAAAATGGGGGCGGGGGGCGGCCAAAATTGTTTTTGCCTTGGGCGGCAAAAATCCTAGAACCGGCCCTGGTTAAGAGGAAACAAAATAGTTATTAAAGGATTATTGCATATACAATTTTTCTCCCAGTTAAAAAAAAGCACTCCAAGAAGGGAAAAAAGTTTCAAAATAATGAGGATGATTTCTAATACAAACAACATCAGGAACAGAATAGTATATTGGATGCAGGAAGGCTAGAGGAGGAGAAGAAATAGATGGCTCAAGGGAATTGGTAATAGGATATAGAGCCTTTCATCTTCAGTTCACAGGTTAAAATCCAGCCCAAGCTGGCAGTGACCAAAACTGGTTACTATACAGTGGCTGTTCAGTAACCAGTGTGAAATGAATTGGTGGTCAAAATCCAGTCTCAACCAGACAAGTGTTCAGTATCATAAGCTGACAGACAGACTCAGTAGAGAAGTCAAAGTAAAAACCTTCACAGCCCTAGAAGCATTTCCTTCTGGTCAGGTTTGAGATATAATGGCATGACAGCACAAGGGAGCACTGCTACTGCTGTACTAGTTTTATGGACAGAGGAGCTGAGTTTCCAATGCATCAATCCCAGCACCGATTACTACTTTTTTTATTTTTTTGATGGGGGAAGAGAGAACAGAAGGAAAAAAGTGAACATGCCCTTTATTAAAAACAAGTTAAAGAGAGTCTTAATATATGTTTAACACAAAAATTAAATGATAACTATTGTTTATGGTTTTTACTTAAAATGATAAAAGCCAAGGAATAATTTCAAAAGGAAGGAAGGTAAACTACCAGCCAGTGTAGTCCCTACCCCTACTTCCAATGTCTAGGCATTACTGTACATAATGTATGGTCACAGACTCAAAACACTGAGAAATACTTCTGAACTGGCCAATTTTGTTTGTGGTGTACATGGCAAACTGTAAAAATAGGCAAAGTTACTGCAGATTAATATTTAAATAAATATTTATATTATATTCAAATAGATCCTCTATCTCCAAAAACAGGGCAAATGAGACATGTCATGAGTAGTTCCTTTAAGACACAGTGTTACTGCTTCCAAACAAGTAGCTAGACAGTGAAGTGATGGGTGGTCTTCAAGGCCTGAATCTGGCAAATGCTTAGGCATGTGCTTATCTTTAATATCATGAGTAGTCTCGTTTATTTCAATAGTTATTTTGATTTCAGTGGGATTACTCTCTGTAATTATTAACCAGGTACAGAATTGTTTGCAAGAATGGGGCCTAAATGATGAAGGCATGAATAAATGTACTAGATAGCTCATAAGGGTTAAGTAAGTTCATTATTTTAGTATAGAGTTATTGTACCTATTTAGAGAATTGTGTGTATTTTTCACTATTTTATTACACTAGAAAAAATATAAAAAAATCCAGAAAATACTAGGACAGTACAGTTTTTATTAGTAGTATGTTCAAAAAAGTTATCAAGAGCCTTGGTCAGCAAAAACAGCACTTAAAATTTTAGATTAAAAAGCCCTTTATAATCTCCAAAGAATTGCTGGAGGTTGGGTTTGTTTTTTTGTTTTAAAGTAAAAAAGTAAGGCAAAATAATAAAAAATGTCTGTATTAATATAATCTTAAAATGTGATTTCATCAAATCTCAAAAGGTAAGCAAAGTCAGCCAAGCCAATACTTGGGTGGGAGCCAACCACAAAACATAGAGGTGCTGCAGATGTAATTTTAGGCCTTGGCTACACTTGGGGATTCACAGCGCGTGAAGCGCGAGTGTAGTTGCGCCGCCAGCGCTGCGAGAGCTCTCTCGCAGCGCTGTAAGTACTCCACCTCTCCGAGGTGGGGGGGGGGGGGTATTTTCACACCCCTGAGCGCAGCAAGTTGCAGCGCTGTACAGCGCCAGTGTAGCCAAGGCCTTAGTGATTTAACTCTTTGTCAGTGTTTAAACAGTTCTTTAACATGGTTTCAGGAAATAACAGAATGCTGGAGTATCCTAGACAAATTCCAAGTCAGGAAATTAAATATGGCCAACGTACATGTTTCCTGTAGTTTCTATTAGATTCTCCTTCATTTCTTGTTCTAATCTTTTGTGAAATATTGATACAGGAATTATAAATGGAAAAAACACCTCTTAGTTCATCTACTTCATCCCCAGGATTAGGGCAGACAAAATGTTGGTGCACACTGTTACTGTCCAGTTTAGCAGTGAATTAAATTATACCTGTGTGATAAACTGTATACCCATAAATCCTATTTCAATGTAGGAAATTATTACTGTTTTTACAAAAATTATAATGCCTTTTGAGTAGTTGACATCAACAAATTCATATTATATTTAATAAAATACTATAACGAAACTGCACTGAAGCTTAAGGGATTTCCCCTAAACTTACAATAAAATCAAATTTGAAGGCTCCATTGCCCGCAATTACAAGTTGCTGTAGAAATATCATTGATGTGTTACAGAAATGTTAAGTTAGGAATAGGTTGTAATAGCAAATATAATAGCTAGGAAAATCCTGTTTTCATAAACATATATTTATTAATAATAGCTGATTGGACCAAAATCAAAATCTAAGATGTATAAAATCATTTTGCATCTAAAACAGAATATTTTTCAAAGTTTTCTATTAGGGATAAAGATGGCTATTCAATAGCTTGAATAAAATGGCCTGGTGGTCTCAGAACAGCTTCTAGTGAACAGATATTACAAATAAATATCGCTCTATTACTTTACTGGCAGTATCAATGGAGACAATCACAGAGATTAAACTACCTCTCTTACTCTTACTGATGATCTCCACATCTGAGGCACATTTGTAGGTAGAATGGAGAAGCTTGCTTTATCAAAATATGTATGGTACATATTCAGTGGATAAACACTTAATTCTCAGGACCACCAATGTAGCATCTTTCAACAGCATCAAAATTAGGTCCCACCCCGCAATCTGATCCAAGTGGGAGGACCCTTGTGTCAGGAAGTGCTCCATGTACTTCAGTAGGAATGTGTGTAGAAACAAGGGTATTAGTAGATCAGACTGCAGAATGTAGGCCTTAATAACAACGAGGTGTTTGGTTTTTTTAATAAATTGTTCCATGAAACTTGGTTTATTATATAAGGAAAGACGAAGTGCAACTCTTCTGTTATCAGCTAATGCTGTTATGCAGCATTAGTACGAGATGGAATATTTTCAAGATGCATTCGTCAACATATCTAAGAAAACTAAACTGGCAGAACTTCCTCCTCTCTACTAGATAACAGCATCTCTAAGGGTAACATTTTAAAAGCAACCAAGATATTTAATAACTCAAACCTCATTACCAGAGTATTTTAGGCACTTAGGAATCCAAGATCTGTTGACTTTTAGCGAGACTTGGGCTCCTAAGTGACTTTTGAAAAAGGTACTGAGGCTTCTAAAGTCATTTCTGTGCTTTTGAAAATATTATATAAATAGTTCTAGGTGAGAGAGAGAGAGAGAGAGAGAGAGAGAGAGAGAGAGAATGAATGTTAGGGAGGGAATATTTAAACACATAAATTGCACTTTATTATTTGAGTTGAAAATAAATCTATGAATACTCTTTTCAAGTAAATTGGAATATTAATTTATTGATGTCTTGTAATGCTGCATGGCACTAAGTCTGAAGCTTAACATCTAGAAGTAGAAGGTTAACCATGGCTCCAGTCATTAGTTCAAAGATAGCATAAGAAGAGGAGCAAAAATAACTACATTTATTCAAGGCTACTGGACAGATTTATGGAAAAGCTGAATTTAAATACCAGGAAATTACAAAGCCTTCTGTTGTTCAGCTCACAAACACATATCCAATTACCATCAGAGAAATCTCTCCCATCCTTATAACTAAATTTTTCATATTTTTTTTTAAATTCAGCCCTACTCTGTTGAATTGCAGCAAGGTGATCTAGTTAACCATGTCCTTGGCAGCGCATGAACTGTCTGAACTTTACTCAGATGTGGGAAAAAATGAAGGATTAGTATTTGGTTTTCCTCCCAGTTTTACAACAATTAATTCACTTGGAAATTCCATGGGATAAATATTGAAATAATGTGTTTATAAATGGAACACAAGCCATTCCCCAAACGTGACTTAAAAGCGAAACTGGACCAGACCAACCTTGTATGGCTATTTCAGACACATACAGTACATGTCCATGAGCATTTAGGAGACAACAGCTCTAGTTTACCGTTTTTCAAAGAACATTTGACATTAAACTACTTGTAAATAAATACAGAGATAGGTTTTGGTCAAGAAGTTTTAGTGCTGCTTTTGCTAAATAAACTATTGCTTTTTTAAACAAATGACCGTTAAAGTAGTTTGCTCCCTCTTTTTTTCCTCCTTCTTCTTCTTTATAGAGAAACACACACAAAATGTCACAGAATTTAACAGGACAATATTTATAGCACAAATCTGTGATTGTGAAGCTGATCATTCAGAAAGAGAAAAGTTTGATTACCCAGACAGCTAATGACCTAAATTCTGGGATTCCATGAAATAACAGATATTGCAAATAAAACAGCTTTCCTCTGGTTTGTACCAGTATTCATATTTGTTGTTTATACACTTTCCTTAATCATATATTTTAACCAAAATAGTTTCAGGATAAACGGAGAGTACTCACGTGATATAATACTGTCAATATATTGTGGTAAATATGGAGCCCAAGCATCAATTGTTTCTTTCCGCCCTGCCTGTTCAATTCTTCTCAGTTCTGCTAACAGCAAGGCCTGGGCAGCTTCCCTTACCTACAGAGGGAACCAGAATGTCATACAAACTCAACTCTCAAATAAGATTTGCAAATATTTTTAAAAGGTAGCGGTAAAGTTGTCCAGCCATTACATTCTTACAATACAAACAACAGAGCTAAGCTAAAAAGATAAATTTACAAAACCCAACACAGGCATCACATACTTATGCCACCAAGTTACAGTTCAGTCCCTGCTTCCCCTAGTTGGGGCTGAGGTTGGGAAGGTCTGTGCAAGCCATAGAGCTGCTTTAACTACACCTTGCCTTCCGGAGGAAGAAGTATTAAGCTCCACAGTAGCTCCTTTTCCCTGCTAATGAAAAGATCAGCAATACAAGGAGGCCAAGTTAGGGAAGGGAGAACACAAGGGAGCTCACAACTAAGTCCTGAATTTACAGAGCATGATATTTAGCAACAGATCTAAGAAATTAGACCTTCTTTTCTGTGAAAGATGTTAAAGGAAAATTAATTTGAGACTTTCTATAACTACTTAGAGAGAGAATTCTATAGAATTCTCTTCTATACTTTCCCAAAATACTTTTCCAACTTCAACAAAGTTTGAAAAAAAAAGTTAAAAAACCACTTATTTTTTTAAAAAGTCATTGTTTAAATATGCTTTTGCCCATTTAGTATATAATCTGGACAACTGAGCAATAGTAGTGGAGGAAATCCTTAGAAGATTTTCATGTTAAAGAAAAAAATACTATAAAACCAACAAATACAAAATAATATTTTAAATGTAATTGGCAAAAATTCCATTCACAGATGTCAAAGCATTTAATAAAAATAAGCATCACCATATACATTTACATATGGGGTATCTGAGACACAGAAGTTAAGCGACTTGCCCAAGGTCAAAGAAGAAGTCACTGACAGAGCAGGGACTACACCCCTTACAGCTAATTCAAGTGTTCTAGCTACCAAACTTGTGGCTGAGGAAAATTTCAGTTATCTTTGAAAGCGATTGTGCTTTCTGGGAACATGAACATATTACATAATATCTAGTAATAGGACAACTACTCAGAAATATACAAATCTACTAGTGCTTTTGTACAAAGTATACTTCAGGCAGATAACACAAAGCATACACCAATTAAACTAGGAGACTGCTGAAATTCTACAGCTCTGTTCTTCATTTCTTTCTTTTAAAGCTGACTCCCCCGCCGCCCCTTCCCTCTCCCCTTCCCCGCCCCCCCACAACAGCATAGGTGTGATGCTAAGGTCAGCTAGTCATTTCTCAAATAGTAGGTGCCAACCCATTTTCTGACTATTGTAAATGCATTCCAAAAATTATAATAACTTAGCAGCCTCTTGATAGAAATTGAGTTGAAAACTTTGTCCTTAATGACATTTTAAGCAGGTTCCAGAAAATTCTAGATCTGAATGGATAAAATATATTTCAAATATATACAGTACATTTATGTATCAGAGGGGTAGCCGTGTTAGTCTGGATCTGTAAAAAGCAACAGAGAGTCCTGTGGCACCTTTAAAACTAACAGATGTATTGGAACATAAGCTTTCGTGGGTGAATACCCACTTCGTCAGACGCATGTAATGGAACATTTATGTTTCCTGTTCATCATTGTAGGTTACTCAAAAATTAAGAAAAAATACAGATGTTAAAATGTCAAAGGAATGTTTACAAATTAACCAGAAAATTAAACATAATATGCATGAAACTGTAGTATGTTTCATTTTTGAAACATAAAAAGATAGGGTGCAGTGAATATGTCCTCCCTGAACCTAAATACTGGTTTTAGGTCTCTGGGACATAATGAAAAAAATTCTCTCTGACAGTTACATTTCCATAACTAAATGAAAAAAAATTAAATAAACATTAATAGTTTTTTAGCTTTCACTGACTTCTTGATGCATTGAAGAGCGCTTTCACTTAGAATCATAGAAGATTAGGATTGGAAAAGACTTCAGGAGGTCATCTAGTCCAACCCCCTGCTCAAAGCAGGACCAACCCCAACTAAATCATCCCAGCCAGGGCTTTGTCAAGCGGGCCTTAAAAAACCTCTAAGGATGGAGATTTCACCACCTCGATAGGTAACCCATTCCAATCCTTCACCACCCTCCTCGTGAAATAGTTTTTCCTAATATCCAACCTAGACCCCCCCCACTGCAGCTTGAGACCATTACTCCTTGTTCTGTCATCTGCTACCACTGAGACAGCCTAGCTCCATCCTCTTTGGAACCCCCCTTCAGGTAGTTGAAGGCTGCTATCAAATCCTCCCTCAGACTATCAAATCCTCTTCTGCAGACTAAATAAACCCAGTTCCCTCAGCCTCTCCTCATAAATTATGTGCCCCAGCCCCCTAATCATTTTCGTTGCCCTCCGCTGGACTCTCTCCAATTTGTCCACATCCTTTCTGTAGTGGGGAGCCCAAAACTGGACACAATACTAAAGATGTGGCCTCACCAGTGCCGAATAGAGGGGAATGTGACGGTACCTCCCATAAGGCTTTATGGAAATATGCTTAGAATGTGTTTTATGCTACATATGCCATGTAACATATCTCCATAAAGGTTATGATCTACTGAATGTATTAATCCTATTTGTATGCATGTATCATTTTTGTATTCAAAGTTATGAATGTTGGCTGTGTACTGGCTTGATTTCTAAATACCCTTAGTAGAGCATTTGGTCAGTTCCTGGAGAAAGGAATGTGGAAATTAAGTACCTAATCGAGAAATACTTAAAGGACAATGGATCTTGGAATGCTCCAATCCACATAAGACATCTACTTGAGGACGTTCAAGATAGCATGTAAACAATGGATGCTACCTGTAAAAACTGTGAGTCATGCATGGACATGTGACTTGCCCAGGTGACTCCAAAACTCCATCTTGGAGCTCAAATTTGCATAGGAGAGAGGAGGGGGTCTCCACCCACAAAAAGAAAGTATATTTAAGCCCGTGGGAGACCCCTCCGTTTTGTGATCAGCTGACTAACGAGAACAGCCATCATGAAGAATCCTCTAGCTACCACCTGAGCTAGAACAAGAGCTGTACCAGGGGAAAGAATTGTGCCCAGGCCTGGAAGGTGTCCAGTCTGAAAAAAAAACTTACTGAGGGTGAGATTATCTGTATTCAGTTTGATTAGACATAGATTTGCTCATTTTATTTTATTTTGCTTGGTGACTTACTTTGTTCTGTTACTACTTGGAACCACTTAAATCCTACTTTCTGTATTTAATAAAATCACGTTTTACTTATTAATTGACCCAGAATATGTATTAATACCTGGGGGAGCAAACAGCTCTGCATATCTCTCTATCAGCGTTATAGAGGGCAAACAATTTATGAGTTTACCCTGTATAAGCTTTATACAGGGTAAAACGGATTTATTTGGGTTTATACCCCATTGGGAGTTGGGCATCTGAGTGTTAAAGACAGGAACACTTCTGTTAGCTGCTTTCAGGTAAATCTGCAGCTTTGGGGCAAGTAATTCAGACCCTGGGTCTGTGTTGGAGCAGATGGGAGTGTCTGGCTCAGCAAAACAGGGTGCTGGAGTCCTGAGCTGGCAGGGAAAGCAGGGGTAGAAGTAGTCTTGGCACATCAGGTGGCAGCTCCCAAGAGGGTTTCTGTGATCCAACCCGACACAGGAATAATCACTTCCCTCGATGTGCTGGCAATGCTCCTACTAATGCAGCCCAATATGCCATTAGCCTCCTTGGTAACAAGGGCACACTGTTGACTCATATCCAGCTTTTTGTCCACTGTAATCCCCAGATCCTTTTCTGCAGAACTGACGTTTAGCCAGTCAGTCGGTCCCCAGCTTGTAGCCGTGCATGGGATTCTTCCGTCCTAAGTACAGGACTCTGCACTTGTCCTTGTTGAACCTCATCAGATTTCTTTTGGCCCAATCCTCCAATTTATCTAGGTCACTCTGGACCCTATCCCTCACCCCCCCAGCTTAGTGTCATCCGCAAACATGCTGAGGGTGCAAACCATTCCATCATCCAGATCATTAATGAAGACGGTGAACAAAATTGGCCCCAGGACAGACCCCTGGGGCACTCCGTTTGATACCGGCTACCAACTAGATATTGAACCGTTGATCACTACCCGTTGAGCCCAACAATCTAGCCGACTTTCTATCCACCTTATAGTCCATTCATCCAATCCATACTTTTTTAACTTGCTGGCAAAAATACTGTGGGAGACTGTATCAAAAGCTTTCTCCATATCCACAGAGCCAGTTATCTCATCGTTTTATTTCATTTTATTTCGCTTATTTTATTAAATAAAAGAGAAGGCCTATAAACTGCTTGGAATTCGGCTACTCCAAATGAATTTGTTAAAATGGTCTGTAGATTAGGGAAAGGGGGGTTTTCTACTGCCAACTAAAATTACTTACAGGTATTTTAGTGGAACAATGATGACATCCAGTGGCCAGTTACATAAACCACAGATTCATATTTCTCTTGATAAAGTTCTACAGTTCTAGCTCCCTATTTAAATCCAAAATACTGGTTTAAAATACAGAAGCCATGTATCTGTTTAAAAGATGACCTGCAATTTAAAAATATACTAACCATTATCCAATTTTGCAGCTTACAATTTTTTTTAGAACCTAAATTCTTTGTCATACGCAGAACCCTTTGTTTTGCAATTTGCAACTTAATATTACCTCCAAGCATCGATCCTGCCACCTGCGAGCTAGCATCTCAAGAAGAGGAGGTCTAAATTTCTCCAGTCCCAACAGGTCAGGGAGCATAACACAATGCATAGCAGCTAGTTGACTCCATCCTGTTAAAATATGTTAAAAACAGGCATAAAAAACACATAGGCAATTTTAACATCAAAAGGTCAAAATAAATGCATTTTATTTAAATGTATTCAAAATATTTTTGGATTTACTCTGGCCACTGTTCTTGGGACATGCACTTTTTCCCTAAGGCTAAATTGCTTCTTAGGGAACAGTGTGGAAACTACTCTGGATACAGACAGACCTCTCACTGACAAGATCAGTGTCTTAGTAAATAATATGCAATACTTTTTCCTGTAAGGTAGATATTTCTACATAAAGAACAATATTACTGTTGCCATGAAAAAACAAATACACAGCTAAATCTCTGTTCTAAGCTAAATTCAGACAAGTTTGTCAATTGCAACAACTCACAAAATGTTATATAGTAGCAAGAAGTCACAAAAATCCAGGTTCAAAAAAAAACAAATAGGACAAAACAAAACAAAAATTACACAGATGAGTTACTACTACAGATGTGAGGTATATTTAAACAGCAGTTAAAAGAATCTTTGCTGAGATCAAAAGAGGGCTGTGTGTCAGCTAAAAACATGGACATCTGTTTGTCGCTGTCATCTGAAGCAGAACAGAATTCTTTTCCCCTCTGTCATGGGAACCTAAGGTTTAACCCTACATAGAACTTGACCCAGAGTCCATGAAAATTATTGGGCATCTTTCCACACTTTTCAGTGGACACCGGATCAAGCCTCCACAGCACATATGAGCTTCCAGTACCAAGCACACAAATTGAATTGACTCTCTAAGTCTCAGATCCTGCAAAGAAAACTAACTGGTCAGATCCCTACACGCGTGTAGAGCCCCAGACTTAGACTGGGAGTCTACCTGCCTGTGTCTCAGTGCACTCTGAGAATCAGGGTCTCAGTCATAATCTACATTGTGGTCTTGACTCAACAAAGTATTTAAAAACATGCTTTGAGACTTAAGAAAGTGCTTAAGTTCATTACTGAATCAGGGACTATACATAGAATAAATGCAAAAACAAAAAAACAAAACAAAATCCATGAATTCATTCAACATTGAAGCTGAGATTTTAAAAAGCACCACCCTGAAATTCAAAGGAAGTGTAAGTCAGCTGGCTCGTATATACATTATAATTTGCATTACTTTATATGGAGTTTAATGCTTTAATATTCAAGTGCAACATGTCCAGATTACAGTCATTAAGCATGTAAAGTGTCAGCAGTAATACTGCACATGTTGTTTTTGTACTTCATTTCATTTTTAGTTTTTTAAAATATTATTTTAAACAACAAATAGAAAAGGTGCTAGTTTAAAGTGACCTACCAGCACGTGAAAATAGAACATACATACAATTCAATATTTGCATGAAAGCTTGACCTGTTCATTTAAATCCTTATTTCAACATGTAATGCTTCAGACATATATTCATACCATAACACACTGAAGCATCACACCTTCTATGTTTTTTTAAAAAGTCAGTAAAAATAAGCACATCTAGCTTGTACAATATGGTATTTTAGAATGTTTATAACTTATTCCATGTAAAATTTCTTGAATTGTAATCTTTATTGCAGAAAAAGACCCTCTCTCTTAACTGACTCAGTGAGTACTAAAAGTCAGTGGGGCTTTCCAGGGGCTCAGGAGTCCACCATGAAAAGTGAATTTCTTGATCAGGGTCTTGATCTATGCCAAGTTTGATTTATTTATTTATTTTTAATTGTTTGTAAACTCTAAAAATTATTTGTGCATGGAAGGCATCTCAATATTTTCATTAACTATGGAAAGGTCTTTCCTTCATTCAAAGATACCACCAAAAAACGTACAAAAATAATTTCAAGCTTTCCTACAGAAAAATTAATTTCTGAACTAATAAAAAAATCAAAAGAAATGTCATCTTTAAAAGGTAACTTTCTGATAGTTATTAGCACTTGAATACAGGAGCACAGAATGCTATTCCATCCTCAATGACTTTGTGGCTAGCACAGCAGCCCTTACAAGCACCTCCTAGCTATGGGGCTGAGTATTTTCAGTAACCTGTAAATTAATCATAAAAATTCCATTTCAGCTGACACTTCCTATAAAATTTCTCTATACAGAAGCGACATTTTAAAAACTGGATTTTCTCAGTCAAACAGACAAACAATTTAAATCCAGCTGTTTTTAAATCACATGAATACAAAAAAGCAGAAAAGTGAAATGATTGTAAAAAATCTTTGTGTTTCTATTACTTCCAATCTTTTTGTTTTGTTTTTAAACAATATTTTAGGGCTTCAGTTCACAATGTAGATTGAGTAACACTGGTATTATAAAGAACATCTGTAGTACTCAAGTTTAAGAAATGACAACATACTCATACTAATAGTTATTCTCAAGAATCTTTACTACGAATTTGATATTCCTATCATTGCAAACTGTAAAACAGAAATTACATCCACAACAGAGAAACTAATCTGTTAAACATAATACTAAAAATATTTAAAAAAAAATTAAAAATGGTTTCATAGCTCTAGAATTCAAAATGCATATGTTGCCATAGTTGTGGCCATCCAAGGTGCCTGAACTGGAGCTCCATTTATATATGTAGGCGTGGCAAAATTCAATTTATATTTTTTAATAATTTCAATGGAACGTATTTGTCTTAGGGCTGTCAAGCGATTAAAAAAATTAATCGCGATTAATTGTGCTGTTAAATAATAGTAGAATACCATTTATTTAAAGATTTTTGAATGTTTTCTACATTTTAAAATATATTGATTTCAATTACAACACAGAATACAAAGTGTACAGTGCTCACTTCACATTATTATTTTTACTACAAATATTTGCACTATAAAAAACAAAAGAAATAATATTTTTCAATTCACCTAATACAATTACTGTAGTGCAATCTCTTTATCATGAAAGTTGAACTTACAATTGTAGAATTATGTACACAAAAATAACTATATTCAAAAATAAAACAATGTAAAACTTTAGAGCCTGCAAGTCCACTCAGTCCTACTTCAGCCAATAGCTCAGACAAACAAGTTTGGTTACAATTTGCAGGCGATAATACTGCCAAGGTTCTTGTTTAAAATGTCACCTGAAAGTGAGAACAGGCGTTCGCATGGCACTGTTGTAGCTGGCGTCGCAAGATATTTACATACCAGATGCACTAAAGATTCATATGTCCCTTCATGCTTCAACCACCATTCCAGAGGACATGCGTCCATGCTGATGACGGGTTCTGCTCGATAACAATCCAAAGCAGAGTGGACCGATGCATGTTTATTTTCATCATCTGAGTGAGATGCCACCAGCAGAAGGTTGATTTTCTTTTTTGGTAGTTTGGGTTCTGTAGTTTCTGCATCTGAGTGTTGCTCTTTTAAGACTTCTGAAAGCCTGCTCCACACCTCATCCCTCTCAGATTTTGGCAGGCACTTCAGATTCTTAAACCTTGGGTTGAGTGTGTAGCTATCTCACATTGGTACCATCTTTGCATTTTGTCAAATCTGCAGTGAAAGTGTTCTTAAAATGAACTACGTGCTGGGTCATCATCTGAGACGGCTATAACATGAAATATATGGCAGAATGCAAGTAAAACATAACAGGAAACATACAATTCTCCCCCAAGGAGTTCAGTCACAAATTTAATTAACACATTTTTTTTTTAACGAGCATTATCAGCATGGAAGCATGTCCTCTGGAATACTGGCCGAAGCATGAAAAGGCATATGAATGTTTAGCATATCTGGCACGTAAATACCTTGCAACGCTGGCTACAAAAGTGCCATACGAACGCCTGGTCTCACATTCAGGTGACATTTTAAGTAAGAAGGAGGCAGCATTATCTCCCCTAAATGTAAACAAATTTGTTTGTCTTAGTGACTGGCTGAACAAGAAGTAGGACTGAGTGGATTTGTAGGCTCTAAAGTTTTACAGTGTTTTGTTTTTCAGTGAAGCTATGTAACAAAAAAATTCTACATTTGTAAGTTACACTTTCATGATAAAGAGTTTGCATTACAGTACTTGTATAAGGTGAATTGAAAAATACTATTTCTTTTGTTTATCACTTTACAGTGCAAATATTTGTAATAAAAAATAATAATATAAAATGAGCACTGTACACCTTGTATTCTGTGTTGTAATATAAATCAATATATTTGAAAATGTAGACAAAAACCCAAAAATATTTTATAAATTTCAATTGGTAATCTATTATTTAGCAGTGCGATTAATCGCGATTAATTTTTTTAATCACGTGAGTTAACTGTGATTAATCGACAGCCCTAATTTGTTTATTTTAAGCATCCTTTTATTTTTTTAATTTTCACAGTTGTGCAAAAGTATGGGTTTTAAGCATTTTTTCTTTCATTTTAAATTTTCACAGTTGCGGGAACGTATGTGGGAGAGGGGTCAGATAATAATTTTATGACCGTAGATGTTGAGATTCAAAAAAAGGTAAAAGTTTTATACTTGTTAACATAATATGTCAAAATATACAAAGTAAATAGCCTTAAATCAAACTCACGTTCTCATGCAGCATTTTCCTTACTTTGCCTATCTGTAAATTTTAATCATCTTTTCATCTTTTGTGAGTGTTCAGTGAAATTGATGTTTATCAACATTTACTGATAAAAATCAAATCCTTGCAAGCCAAGATACAGGACAGAGAGAGGGGACAGTTGGCACGGTGTTATCCTGTGAGGGCCCCTCGACTTTGGAACATGCTGCCCTTCCCAGTCCAATACAGTCCTAGTTTGTCAACCTCAAAGGCATATGTTTTTTCCCGTAACTGAGATACACTGAAATGATTCTGTTTTCTAAATAAGGGAGGTTTCAAATGGAAATAATGTCTATAAACAATTCTCATAGATTTAAAGTAAACATGATTTACACAAAATTCAGGAAATATGAATTAAAACTAATCCTTGTCAACATTTTTACCCAATATTAATGATCAAAGTTGGAGACGACAAGTTTCATTTTGCATCTCTCCCAAAACAAATGAATATGCAGATTAGAGAGTCATGTCATAACAATGATAACGACATTAGTTGTAAGTAAATGACGAGTAGATAGAAAATGTGGAGAGAATACCTTCATTTACTAAGAAACAGCTACGTAAAGTAGGAGCAGGGTCAGAGCCAGAGCGATCAGCTTCAGTGCTAGAAGAAACAGCAGGAGCAACTTGCAGAGGAAAGAAGAAGAAATAAAAAAAAAAAAAAAAAAAAGAGAGAGAGAGAGAAAGAGAGGAAAATGAAGATAGACATTTCTGAAAAACTGATTAGTGTTACTGAAAAATGAAAAAAGAAAAACTGAGACAAACTGAGACTATATCAACTATAAAATAAAAATATTCTAGGTTTTACCAGAAGTGTAACATCAGTGACAGAAAGACATGCAGTTGCAGAAAATACAAAGATACTAACATAAACTTGCTTATTTGGAATAGACAAGACTCACTGTAAATTAAGGGCTTTCAAATTTGCTTTAAAATATAGCATGAATTCACAATATTACACAGCACATCAACTAAATGCAGCTAAAACTCAAATCATATCTGTGAAATTAAAAAAGACACCAAATATGACAGTTTAAAAAGATTAGTCCCAAAACTAAGCGATTTGCTATTTCCTACTACTAGTTACAAAAACTAGAAATAGATACTCCTATAACAAGGCATCCCATCTAATCCATCGCTCTACCACTGAAGGAGTGCTTCCTACAATTCTAGTTTAGTCTAGTTTTAAAGGTCTGAAACTATTAAAACCATTTTAAAATTACACTAAATAAAGCCCTATACAAATAAACTGTAGCAGAAAACCTACACGAACATATAAAGTGTGTACTATAATAAAGTAGAACTACGCCTGTAGATAAGCAACTTTTAATGTAACATTGTACAAAACTGTAATTGCTAAATTAAAGTATTTCAGGCTTTGATATAGCCATTTTGTAAATTGCATAATCTCTTAGTGCAAAGGCAGTCCAAAACTAGTAATAAACATTATAGTCCCACTAATGCTCCATGACTCAAATTATCATATGAAAAGACAGGCAAATCTTATGTCACACACATTCTACAAGCAGAGGTCAATGTTAAGATTTAGAGGTCACTATTTGACACTTCCTTCCTATAGAGAAATTACCATATGTCATGCACAAGCATCTTCAAATTAATCCCTCTCCTTTATTCCATTGCAGAACAACAATAGGTTCAGGCTCCTGAACAGATTAACCATTGTCTTCTAAATGGTATGTTTGCTTTTCATGCAATGAACTTCTTTTGTCACTGTAAGGACATCTGCATCAAAACTACTTTTTTCCATAATTTCCATGCGAACGCATCATGATGGCACGTGTAAAGTGAAAGTATATCTAGCATAAATTGCCAACCTTTTATTTTTAATAAAAATTAAATGTACTAGAAATGGTAAAACAATAAACCCTGAATTTGATTTATGAGAATAAAAAGTTTAGAGAGTTTTATAAAAAATAAACTGCCTGGTAATTTACTTGGAAAAGTATCTGTTCATTTTCTTAGGATAGCTCCCTCCAAATGTCACTATTTATATCAATCACTGTAACTGGAAGTTACAACAGCTGGCTCAAATAGCCCAATGACATTGGACTCTAGTGTTCTCAGGACAGATACTGGTCAAAGTGATGGAGATCAAACATGCCACAATGTGCACTAATTTCACTTCTACTAATTGATCTTAAAAAAATACAATAAAATAAAATAGCAAAAGAAATCAATGAGAAGACAAGATACTACAAGTACCACATATAGGGATAAAGAGATAGGAAAATATTGACTTTAACCTACGAATACCACCTGGAACTGAAAGATACTAAATAGAAATGTGGAGAAAATCAGAATTCAGCTTCCCATAAACAAATATATAAATCTAGTTTGGAGAAAATAGAGGTATAATAAGCATAATTAAGTTTGTAACAAACACTACAAAATTTAAGTTGAAAATGACTATTTAAATAAGTGAACATGTCATGCTATACAGGGATTTGACACCAACGCATAATTTCATTTTTGCAGATTACATCCTAATATAATTCAGTTCCCAACTGATGTCTTTAAACATGTTATTTACTATCATAATTAGGACTGCCACTTGGATGAAAAATGACAGGTTTTTCATTCTGAAAAGGATAACACTCATACAAAATGTATGACTTCTTTACAATCTCTACTGAGCTCTCCCTAATTTTAAAAACTGTCTTTCTTTAAGAAAGAAGGAAAGTAAATGGGTGAAAAGGGGAAGATGTCTTGATCCAATAACATTCAATGGGCAACTAGTCTGGATCTTTTGTTACCATAATTTTGCCATTAAGCTCCAGTTCTCCATTAACCTTTCATCTCATCCCAACTTTGGCCCTGATCCTACAAACACATATTTTGAGTACATTTATGCATCCAAGTCCTGAAGCCAAACTGAGTTGAGCTCCTGTTATCTAATGAATGTACTGGCAAACATTAATGCTTAACAAAAGAATGAAGATTCACAAATGTTGCTGCCTAGCAAATTTCCTCTTCGAAGAAGAACCCCTCTCTTTTTGTGTCCAAGATGAGAATACCATCTTTTAGAGAAGAAATACAAATTATCCCTTGTGCCTAGTAGCTTTCCAAATGGTAAAGCAAATCCACAGCTTTTTTGATTGAGCTAGATTATAAATAAAGCAGCACAATGGCAAAAGAAATGGTTACTTACTGTAACTGTGGTTCTTCAAGATGTGATGCAGACGTGTATTGCACTTAGGTGTGTGTGCACCTAGTACACCAGAGCTAGAGAATTTTGTCTAACAGCACCTGTAGAGGGGCAGTGCTCACGCCTCTTGCTCTTAACCCCTCCCCTGGCTATATGGGGTGCCCCCCCCCAAATTTCTTTGCCCCCAAACGCCCAGAAACTAGACTCTGATGCAGAGGGGACGGATGGTGGATCATGGAATACATGTCTGCATCACATCAAGAAGAACCACAATTACAGTCAGTAACAATTCATTCTTCTTCGAGTAGATGCAGCGGTGTATTCCACTTGACTTACAAGCTGCCCACAGAAGGTGAGTCTAGGGGTCTATTTAAACAAGGCCTCCTTCCCAATGTTTGCATCTGCTCTGGATGCTGTGGTAATGGCATAATGGTTTGTAAATGTATGTATCAACAACCATGTGGCAACCCTGCAAATGTCCAGTCTCGAGACGTCACTTAAGAACACTACTGATGTAGCTTGTACCCTCACAGAATGAGCTTTCACCTGTTTCATATGCAGTCTTGATGCAGGACGTTATCCACTTAGAGATCCTCTGTGAGGAAACTGCCTGTCACTTCAGAGGGTTTGTGTATGACACAAACAAACAAGGTGAAGCCCAAAAGGGTTTAGTCCTGTCAACATAAAAGGCCAGACATCGTCTGACATCCAAAGTGTGAAGATGCTGCTCCTCCAGAGATGAAAGGAGCATAGGAAAAAACACAGGCAAATATACTCCCTGGTTTAAATGAAACTGAAAGACCACTTTAGACACAAATTACAGCTGCAGCTGCATCATCACTTTGTCTTTGATGGCAGAGCCTCCTTACATGCAGTTCTCCAAAACTAGCAACACTCACACTCTCCTTGCAGATGTTATCACCACGAGGAATGCAGTTTTTTGACATAAGAAGGGAAAGAGGCAGGATGCCAGAGGCCTGAACAGAAGTCCCATAGGGGCTGCTAAGAATGTGTTACGGTCCAACAAGGGAACCAGTTCCTGCACTGGCAGATGGAGGCAGAGGATTCCTTTTAAGAATCTCACCACTATGGCACTGGAAAACACCAATCTTCCAGAAATGGGTGGATGAAAGGCTGAGATTGCTGCTACATGCACCCTCAACAAGTGAAACTCAAGTCCTGGTGGCTGAACATGCAGCAAATATTCCAAGATGTTTTGGCACAGTAGCCAGCAATGGCTGAACTCCAAAGACCAGTGACCAGATTGAAAATGCATCCACTTTACCGAATAGGCCATTCTGGTAAAGGGTTTTCTACTACTGAGTAGGACCTGTCGAACAGCCACTGAACACTGCTCTTCTTCCTCATTCAACCCTGCAGCAGCCACGCCATGAGATACAGGGAGCTGAGCACGGGATGCAGAGTGCAACCATGATTCTTTATAAGCAGGTTGGGATGGAGAGGAAAGGATATGGAAGGCTGAATCAACAGTGCAAGAAGGTTGGAAAACCAGCACTGCCTCAGCCATGCCGGGGCAAGGAGGATGAGCTTTCAGCTGTTGTCCCTTGTGGCAAACAGATTGATCACTGGATGCCCCATGCTGCAAAGATGACTCACAGAACACTGGGCTTCAGAGACCACTCGTGATTCAGGGAAAAATTCCTGGTGAGATGGACCACGATATGATTCTGGACCCCTGGGCAAGTGATCAACTATCAGAGAGTTACTCTAATCAATGCAGAATTGCCACAACCTGATCGTCTCTTGGCAGAGCATGCTGGAGTGTGCTCCTCTTTGCCTGTTCACACAATACATCACAGTGGTATTGTCGGTAAGTATGTGAACTTGATGTGGTCTAGGAAAGTGAGACAGGCATTGTTGATGGCCCAAAGCTCCAGGACATTGATATGCAGTGGAGCTTCCTACTCCGACCACAGGCCCTGAATCTTCAGCGACCCCAGATGCGCTCCCCAACCAATCAGGGAGGTGTTGGCGAGAACAGTCCTCACTGGTAAGCACCGGATGAAGGGAATGTCTTGAGATACATTCCCTTGATCCTGGACTCCTTGCACTGGTGGACAGTTCAATGAAGGGAGGTACAGGCCTGAGCCACATGCGAAGAGGGCAAAGGTGCACCTTTGTGAATTGAATCTCCTGAGTGCATGCAGACATATGGCCTAAGAACCTCAGGCATATGTGAACCTTCATGGAAGGCTGAGAATGCAGATGGAGACAAAGGCAGCAAATTGTCCAGAAAAAGTTGGTTAGCAGAAACACTTTCAAACTCGTAGAGTCTATTAGGGCCCCAGTGAACTTGATTTTCTGAGTGGGAACCAAGATTGACTTTCCGGTGTTTAGGATGAGACCCAGATGGTTGAGTAAGCGAAGTGTATGTGTAAGTGAGAAAGGACTTCTTCCCTGGACCTGTCCCTGAGAAACCAGTCATCCAAATATGGGAAGACATGGATTTCCTTTTTCCTGAGGTACGCTATCACCGTGACCATACATTTGGTAAAAACCCAGGGGGCAGAAGACAGACCAAAAGGGAAGGACTGTTTACTGAAAATGGCAGTGCACTATAACGAACTGGAGAAATGTCCTGGGGCTCAGGAGAATTGCCACATGGAAATAAGCATCCTGAAGGTCCAGAGCAGCAAACCAGTCATTCTGAGTCAAAGCGGGGAGGGTAGCTGATTGGGTAACCATGTGGACCCTCAGGTATCTGTTATATTGGTTGAGGTTGCGGAGGTCAAGCATAGGTCTTAACCCTCCCTTGGATTTGGAAATCAGGAAGTACCTGACACCGGTGTTCTGGAGGAACTTCCTCTACCACTCCCAAGACCAGCAAAGAGTTGAGCTGCTTGAGGAACAATATCTTTTGAGAAGGGTTCCTGACAAGGGTCAGGGAAGAAGGGGGGAAGTTTGGTCATCTTTTGTATGAAGCAGACAGTTAAATGTCATGTGATCACACTATGTTAATATCAGCACTTCATTATACTGATTAAAAAAATACATGGATCTTAATCATACACATTTTCATATGGAATATCATAGTATTTTCTTTTTACAGCTAGAAACCAATACAATGTTATCATCACTACAGAGTAGCTAGACCATTTCAGTCTAGAGCTAAAATGTCACGTCAGTTATCTCACAGGCTTTAATTTTACCTTGTTTAATTTGCCCTTGAGCTGCATTACTGGAAGCTGGTGGGGGAGCCTTCATTTTAGACAAATCTGGGGTGCCTGGCCTAGGAGGCCTAAAAACAAAATGAGACAAAACATTCAAAGCTTATTCTCCAAAAGATGTTTATTCTGATTTAAGGTGTCCCATTAAAAGAGTGTCCCATCAAAACACTTTAGTTGCTATTAAAATTAAGGCTTATTAGCAATTCACAGATAATCCTAATTTCTCACCAACTATAACTGAAATATCATCAGTATAATTTATTTAGAATTTCATAAACTATTTAAAAGTTATTGAGAAAACAATAAATACAAATATGTGAGCCTAATTCTCACTCTCTTACAACCATTTTATGTGCTGTAACACCAGTTAAGTCACACTGGTGTAAAAAAACCCATAACAACATATAACATAATGGATACCCATATCATGTTCATCTAGTGTGGCTGTAATAGGTGTTCAATAGCACAAAGCTATAAAGAGTAACAGAATTAAATAAAACAAAAATATTGTTTTACAATAAAAAAAAAATCAAAAGGCAAACAGGTTATTGCAAGATAAGTAAATACACTGAATCCTTTTCATACCTGATTGGACCCTTCTTCATATGGTCTCCAATAAACGTTGCATTAGTCATACTCATCAAAGTATTCGCCAAAGAGATAATAGACAGGAGATGCTGAGTAGTGACTGCACGTGATACTCCATATGTCCCCCTTCCTAGTCCCTCTGTAATGGACATTTTCCTTCCTACTTCCACACTACCATATGATGGTTTGCCTATGGACTGGTTATATCCTGGAAGCATCAGAGACATGTGGCCTCCTCTAGATAGCAGACCAAAGGACACAGAACAGTGCGGTTTAAGCATGCCAAGGCGATCAAGACAAACATCATCTAGATCTTCATTCAAACCCCAGGCATGAAGACAGGACATAAAAAGCTTTGCTGTGTCCATGGTTAGATTATACTCTAATAGGGTTAATGGTTTAGATTTGCTGGAGCGATATTCTGGGTCACTGTCTTCCCTTCTCTGTCTCATTGATTCTTCATCCTCATCTTCATCATCAAGAAGATGTTCTTTTATGTTCTCTTTGATCGTTTCCTTGACTTGCTGGAAGAGCACTGCTGCTCGTTTGCCAGCCAGAAAAGACCCCCCCTTATCAGAACTGCCAGATGCTTTCTGTAAATTCTCTGGGGAAATGAGTGCAGTATTAGGCCTAGAGGCTTCTTCAGTCAGTAGCTGAATAATCAGAGCTTCTACATCAAAGAAGAGCACATGTATATCTGGATCTGTTAGGTTAGTCTTTATGGCTTGAACCATCAGAGAATTGTGTGAATATTTAGGCAAATTCCCCTGCAATTAAAAAAGAAAAAAGAAAAAGTACAGATTAAAATGAAAACAACATCTTCACTTTATTAGTATTTTCAATCTTTCCACAAAGTTAGTTTATAAACATAAGCATCACAGGTAAGAAAAGTTTGAGAACTCATGAGATTTAAAATATGTAATGCAAGTGCCAATGGAAAACGTTATATGATTCCATTTAAGCCACCATACACAAGAGAGGAAACATAATAGCTTTGAAATATCATTGGGCGGGTTTTAGCTTAAATACATGCAAATTTTAGTTATATAACTTCATCAATGAAATACCAATCATTAGTTCACCAGTCACTTCTCATTGGTTCTTTAGATCATGAACCCTAAAAGATACAAATATACAAATAAACCCATATATTCTGGTCTATTAAATTCAAACCAAACAAAAGAAAGAAAACCTTTGGTATTTCAGACACTAATAAAATTTAAAAAAAACAAGGGGATAATCTAGCCTACTATGCCAATGTATGTGATCAGAAGCTGAAACAAAGTAAAATAGATATTCCTTAAGTTTGCATTTTTCTCCACTGTTCCACCCCTCTCCCCCAAAAAACAAACAAACACTACCGATAGAGAAAAGCCAGCAGGGGTGTAAAGAAGAAAGGAATAAACAACACCAACATTGATTTCTAATTACTATTAGAATTCTATTTTCTCCCTGTAACCAAAGTAAACATTAACTCCTGAGGAAAACACATTTATATATTTATATAGCACTTGAATACCTGCTACATCAGAAATGTGATAGTTTCCTTTTAAAATGTCATATATACAAAGGGCAATTGCTAAGCTATTATTCTTGCTGCACAGTTTAAGCAATGGACTGCAATATGTAAGGGTCTGAGGGGGAAAAAAATAAAAGGATTGATATGTGATCAATGTATAGCATTTCTAAAAACCCAAAATGTAGAAAAACTATAGGTGGAGAGCAGTGACTAGTTGAGTAATCAAATTAGGTGGGTTTTTTTGGTACTTGATTGCCGTCAGCTACTGTTTCTTTTTCTTCTGAAAATTCAGTCTTTTGTTATAATTTACAGAATTGTAAGATTTGAGGGGACATGTACCTGTATCTTTGCCTTCATGTTTAAAGTAACTGTCCACTGGGAATACAATGGTTATTTTTCATCATTTAAATTACCATTTCCTTGTACAAGGCCAGGAACAAATAATAAAGTTACCTTTAGCACTTTTGATATCCATCAGATTGAATGGTTTACTAGAGCATTGCTGAATTTGGTGAGAGCTGGACAAGCAGTGGGGGCGGTTTAGGTTGGATATTAAGAAAAAAACTATTTCACTAGGAGGGTGGTGAAGCACTGGAATGGGTTACCTAGGGAGGTGGTGGAATCTCCATCCTTTGAGGTTTTTAAGGCCCAGCTTGACAAAGCCCTGCCTGGAATGATTTAGACTATAACAGGGTTCAAAAAAGACCTAGATAAATTCATGGAGAATGGGTCCATCTATGACTCTTAGCCAGAATGGGCAGCGATGGTGTCCCTAGCCTCTGTTTGCCAGAAGCTGGAAATGAGTGACAGCGGATGGATCACTTGATGGTTACCTGTTCTGTTCATTCCCTCTGAAGCACCTGGCATTGGCCACTGTTTGGGGACAGGATGCTAGGCTGGATGGACCTTTGGTTCTTATGTTGTCTTTTATCATTTTTCTGTGTTAGTTCATTGGAGAGCATAGTCATGGTCTGATTTCACCCACTGAAAAATAAATCCCACTGACCACACACCCCTAGTTGTAACATACCACCCCACACTAGCACACATATAATCAACAATTACAAATCATGCTTGATAGGGATCCATCCTGAAAGAAATCTTTCCCGCACTCCCTCTTCTGGCCTTCAAACAATGCCCCTTCCCCCAACCTCACCAAGCTCATCATCAGAAGCAAGCTCCCCACAGACCAGGACACACCAACTTAAAGCAGCACCAAACCCTGCCAGAACAGATGCAAAACATGCAGACATATCTCCACTACTATGAAGATAAATAACCCCCTCAACACACCTCTCAAGATGAATGGGTCCTACTTATCACAACATGTAGTGCACCTCATCCAGTGCATCAAATGCCCCAACAAGAACTATGTGGGTGAAACCTGACAATCACTGTGCTCTCCAATGAACTCACACAGAAAAATGATAAAGACAAAAACTGAGGAAGAGCTGTGTTGTTCAAAAACTTGTCTCTTTCACAAACAGCTGGTCCAATGAAAGATAGTACCTCAACTACCTTGTCTCTCTCATATCCTGAGATCAACACAGCTACAGCATTGCAAACAACATTGAAATTGCCATACAGATCAGACTAACACTCCGTCTAGTCTAGTCTAGACTAGAATAACCTGCCCTTAGTGTAAGTTTCTTCCTAACCAGAGGTAGATAGTGACTGGCTTATACGTTTAAGCTCTATATCTCTTCTAACACAAACTGTTGTTCTATTTAATATAATTTTGGATATGCAGAGGCTGGTATCACTGATGGAGGTGGGATTGACAACTTAGTAATATATAAGATGCTATGATAGGCAAAAACAAAGGAAAGTCTTAAAAATGAACATTATCAGTTTGTATCTGATATAATAGAAATACGGGAGCCAGTGGAAAGATGTAAATAGCAAGGTGATGCAATCAATAATAAAGACCCCTATTATTTTTCCCTTCTGTTAACTAAACAGCCTTCTTTTTTCCCACTACTCTTTCCAACTAGAAGTCTTTCAATGTTTCTATCATAAGTTCTTTTGAGGTGAAGCGATTAGAAGCGAATAAAGTACTCAAGGTGAAGGCTTAGTACCAACTTATATAATTATATTCTCAATATTATTTTCTATCCCATTCTTTATACATCCTAACATTTTGTTTGCTTTTTGACTGCCTCGGTGCACTGAGCAGATATCTTTCTTGTGCTGTCCCCAATGAAGGCTGCATCTTTCTTTGAGTGCTTACAATTAAATTTAGAACCCATCGAGCTGCATGAGTGCTTTACTCCTCCAAGATGCAGTACCTGGAATTTTTCAACATTGAATTTCGGCTTCCATTGTGGTGACTATTTTTGCTATGTTTTTAGGTTCCCCTTGAGTCCCTCAAAGTCTTATTTAGACTAACCTAAATAATTAAATCTGCAAACTTTTGCAACTTAACTGTTCATTCCATCTCCAGACCCTTAACAAATCTGTTCAACACTGTAAGTCCTCGCAGGGATCCTAGATGCATACCGTTTAACATTTGGTCAATTTGAAACCTGGCCATTTATTCCTATCCTTTTTCTCTGTCTCTTTGCTCGTTTCTTCTAATCCAAGATAGTACATCCTTTCAACCCCATGGCTACTTCATTTCCTTTAACAGCTTCTTGTGCAGGACTTTGTCACACACTTGTTGAAAACATAGGTAATTGACATGTACTCTTTTTCCTTGCATCACCATTTTGACATGATCAGGAAATTATAGTAAATTGGAAAGGCATAATTTTCATTAACAGAAGTAATGCTGGTTTGTCCCCCATTATCTCCTGCTCATCTAGGTGTTTTATAAAATACTCTAATTATTATTTCAACCATTCTAATAGATTAGTATCCTTATTTCAGTACCGAATTCCCAAGATCATTCTAGCACCTTTTTAAAAGAAAAGTACATGTGCTATTCCCCCATCCAATAGTATAGTAGATTATTTTAATGAGAGTGCATATTTATGTTAGAAGCTCAGGTCACTTCACACTTGAATTCCTTCAGAAGTCTTGTATAAAGATTATGAACTCTTAGTTATTTGGTGCTGTTCATCTTATCAGTTTCTTTCAGAATTTCTTCTTTTGACATTTCTGTCTTTTGCAGTGCTTCATTTATTACCTGAATGGGGTCATTATCACTACAGCAGATGTTCAGGAGAAGACAGACCTTATCTTCCTCAACTGCTTCCTTTACACTCTGATAAGGCTTATTTGTTTTTGAGATCTTCATCTATTTACTCCACAAAATTCCTCTTAACCTTTATAATTTCCAATTTACATTTTACCTGAAATACTTTATGTTCCCTTCTACTGGCTTCAGTTGGGAGGGATTCACACTTTTTGAAGGATACTAGCTTACTTCCTGAATCAACTTTTCTGTGTTATTTAGGACCAAGTCAAGAGTATCCTCTCCTCTTCTGTGCGCTAGAACTAATGCTAAGAAGCAATCATTTAATGGGTTGAGAAATTGCTTCTATAAACCTTGCTCAGCTGTGATATGTGGCTAGTTGGGGGAGTGGGGAGAGGGATCAAAGTAATCATTATTGCATCTGTATTTGATTTAGTTATATCTTTGATTTTCCTCCACAGTGCACTTTTAATGTATTTTCCTGATTCAGAGGCTGGTAGTACAATGCTACTAATATATTTTTATGATGATGATTTGGAATTGGTATGCATACAGATTGTGTTACATGGTCCTTTCCACTTGAAATCTAATGTGATAAAATTTCTACATAGTCTTTCAGATACAGTGCTATTTCCCCACCACAACCTAATGTGCGCTTCCAATACAGTTTATAATATACAACAAAGTGCCCTGGTTTGACATTCCCCATGTTTCAGAAGTGTCTATTACAATCAGTCTCCATCCAGTCTTCTTTAGCTAGGCATTCTAGCTCACCTATTGTTTTGCTTTTAAGCTTTTTGCAACAATATATAGAAATGTATAGGTTTTATTCTTGACCACATACCTTTCCTTGAAGCCCTGTTATTTCTCTGGAACGTACTTGTGATAACAACCTGGACCTTCTTCATTTCGGTTTTAATTTCTGTTTGCTGAATATACAGTTTTGTATTAATGAAACCCCTAGCAAATGTCTTTGGGTATGTCTATATTAGAAAAACTACAGTGGCACCGCTGCAGTGACGATACTTACTATAGTAACAAAGGGAGTGCTTCTGTCACTGTAGGAAATCCACCTCTCTGAGAGGTGTTAGCTAGGTTGACAGAAAATTTTT